CAGCACCCAGGGCTGCATTGGGGTAGGTCCATGTGGCTTCTCCTCAGGGACGTCTTGCAGGAAGTGAGCCTGGCAAGCTGAAGCAGGGAACTGACTTCACAAAGTAAGAGACCTGAGAACTAGAAAGGCGAGGCTCACCGAGCCATCTATCCCTCTGCCCTTCAATTAACCCCACATGTGTTTATGGGCCAGGTTGGCACAATAAACTATCTGCCTCACAAGGGAACAAGTGATCTAAAATCGATGGTGAGGAGGGTGTAGGAGGCCTGGTAGGACTTTATCAAGGGCAATGTAACCAAGAGGAATTACTGAAATCCAAATGAAGGCTGAAATCCAAAATCCAAATGAAATCCAAATCCAAATGAACTACTGAAATCCAAATACCAGGAACATGATAGTGGGACAAGAGGAAAGTAAAAGGAAATAGCGGAAAGAGCTAGGAGGAAAAGGGCATTTATAGGGGTCTAAATACAGGGATGTACATATGAAAATATATCTATATATGATGATGGGGAAATAGATCTATGTGCATATATGTAGATCTATGTGCATATATACTATCATGATCCCAATTCTACCTTACAAATATGGCTAGACCAGAGGATGTACACTGGTACATATAAGAGCTGGAAACACAGGGAATCCAGGACAGATAAACCCCTCAGGACCAATAAGAGAGTAGCAATACCAGGAAGGGAAGGGGAAGTATAGATATAGGTTTAGTATTAAGGTAGCAGATGGATATTGAGCCTCTATTCAAGCACTCCCTCAATGCAAGAGCACTTTGTTCCATTAAACTGGCATTCCATGATGCTCACCTGCCCGACATGATTGCTGAAGACAAAATGGCTGCATAAACAAATGAGGTGAAGAAAGCTGATGGTGCCTGGCTATTAAAAGATATAGTGTCTGGGGTCTTAAAGCTTGAAGATAAACAAGCAGCCATCTAGCTGAGTAGCAACAAAGCCCACATGGAAAAAGCACACTGCCTGTGTGATAACAAGGTGTCCATAGGATTGGGTATCAGTCATCAAAAAATAAAAAATCATATCATTGTGAATGAGGGGGGGTGCGGAGTGGAGATGCAAAGCCCATCTGTAGGCAAGTGGACATCCCCTTACAGAAGGGTTTCAGGGAGGAGACAAGCCAGTTAGGGTGCAGTATAGCACTGATGAAACATACAATTTTCCTCTAATTCTTTAATGCTTCCT